AGTTTTCAAAACTCTTTTAAATGTCTTACTTCTATTACACATCAATTGCTATATATATACACAATATCTATATATATATATATATATATTTAATAGTGTGAGTATTCGAGTTAGCTAATTACATGGACTTCTAGTAATTTATATATACCAAACTACAGGACACTACAATATAGGACTGTTGATCTAAGTAGGTGGCCACTTGAGAATTTGAATCTTAAATCTCTCTCAAATCGTCCCAATGTAACTAGGTCAACTCAATGGAATGTTGAAAGAAATAATTATATATTAAAATAATTAGACATGAGGAGCCAAAATGAAGGCTTGCATGAAAGGAGTGTGCATCGATCCCATAACATAATAAATAAAGAGAATAAATATAAATTAATAGAGATGCATGAAATGATAAAAGGAGAATAATATATATATATATATAGAATGTGTGTTTGTAATTTTGAGTGTTGATGAGTGTTAGGGTTTGGCAAAAGGCTGTGGGGGATGTGCATGTGCGAGTGCGAGTGCTCGTGGGGGGAACAAAAATTGTCCCTTTAAATTTCTTGTCTTCATAAAATCTCACCCATTCTTCCATTTCTTTGCTTTTTCACACTTTCACAGCTTCTCTCTGTCTCTCTCTTCTCTTTCAGAATCTCAATGTCTCAAAGAGACCCTCCTTTTCATGCATATTTATTGATATTTTATTATTATGGGTGTGCTTTTCTCTTCCTTTTAACTCAATCAACCACCTAGTATTCTAACATGTGTGTGTGTCAAAACCCACACCTTCATGACACAGCTCAAGTTTCTGTCTTTTTTTTGTCCATTTGTGTTCAAGAGTTTCTTTTTTTTTATGATTTGAAAAAAAAAACCTATATTTTGGCATATGGGTACACAAGATCTCGAAGATTGAAGATTTGTTTCTATTCAGGAAAATAGCATTTCATATATACTTGTGATATATACGCTGCATAGGGGGAAGGGTGTGAGGCTAGAAGTGATCGTCTTTTATGCTATATTCTAATTTTTACAATTCTAAACCTACCAACCAAATAGATTTTAGAGTCGTCCCGTGCAAGATGACGCAGTCATTTTTCAAGTATCATATTCGAGTCCTACGTTAATCACAATGTTGTTCAACTTAAGACAACGAAATTCGATTATAGGGATCCACTCAGCGCAAGCCACATGATATAGATTTGAGCCAATCATCTTGTAATGTTCATGTATATGTGTAATATATGTAAAAGTAAGTATTTAAAAGTAAAAATAAAAACTTTTTTATTAGCTAGTTTGAAAAAGCACACGTGTAATTGAAAAGATGTCTAAATTTCATCTCTTAATTAATGCATATACTTATCCCCAAAAAGTGTTGAGAAATAGTTCATTAAATCTCCAAATCTCATATATCTAGGTTTTGTATATATGTTAATTTGAATTCATAATTCATATATATGTAATAGCATGTTGAGAAGAAGATTCGAACTCATAACCTCATTGTTGGAGATATATGTCAATTACCGTCGAGCTATGTTCGTTTTTGACATTGGGAGATCATGTTGACCAAGAACAAGAGAAGAAAGAAATGGAAAACAAGGAAGCCCCACAAAAACAAAAAGGGGAATACCAATATCCTTGAAACTGTAAAACATAACATAACATTCTCAACTATTTAATTTGTGTTTGAGGGTTTGGTTGGTTTTTTGCTTGGTGCCATAATTTCCCATTTGCCGCACACAAAGCACGAAACGCAAAATCCCATTAATTGGGCCATCTTTTTTGATCCATCGGATCTGGTGACAATGGGAAGGGTCAGTCTTTAAGGCAAGGCGTGAGGGAATCTGCTTTCTTAGGTGGCACGCCAACTTAATTAATCACCTTGCCCCAAATCTAGACAGAGAAGTAGATTTTTAATCAACTTTTTTGAAATCTCCAAATCTTGGTGGAGAAGAAGAGGATTAAGAAGAAGCTGAAGATTTAAAAAAAAAAAAAAAAGTTCTTATAATAATAAAGGAAGAGAGAGAGTAGAGAGAGGGGAGAGTTGTTGAATGAAGGTGTTCCCTAATGAAGGCTCAAGGCAAGGCTGCTTTCCCGGCGGTGTCTGCGCTTAGGGCCTTCACTTATGCCTTCTTTCTCCCTGTGAGTGTGCGGGCCAAAAATGTCCCTCCATCCAACATATTAATACTTCTCTTTCTATTTTAATTCGGATTTTTGTTTGTTTCTTTTGCTCCATGCATCTATGTTGTTATTTGTACTCTCAACTTTTATTTGTTGTAGTTGATGTAATCGTCTGTTTTTTAGATTTTTTGAAAAAAATATGACAATTGAAAAAAAAAAATTGAACTTCAGTTTTTTTTAGGGTGAAACCAACATACTTTTTAAAACTTGAAAACTACCCTTTGAAAAAGAAAAGAAGAAGAAGAAGAAAAAAAAAACTGGATATGTCTCTTGGCTTCATTCCTTTTAATTTAATTACAAAATATTTTTAAAAACTAAAATTTTAAACTTTTTTTTTCAGAGAAAGTGATTTTGTGGGGTCTACAGTGTTTCTTTGAAAATTACATTATTAAACTAAATTTGGTAAACTATATTAAAAAAAAGATTGATTTTCTCAGATTCACTACTCATTTGAATGATATAATATTAAATTATAATTTTTTTAATACAACAATTTGAAGATAGGAGAGATCGAGTCTCCGATAAAAGGAATACATACCAAATATTAAGTTAGATTTGGTACATTGTACTTTTAAAAAATTGATTTTGCTGGGTCTGAAATTTCTTTTAATGGATGTATTTAGGCAAAGTTTAAAAATAATAATAAACAAAACATAAATTAAAGTTAAAACATTCAAATTTTACAAAATAAACAAACAATGGCATTCAAATTTTAATAAAAATTACGGAAAAAGCTTTAGAAATAAAAGGGTAGACACAGTTCAAGTTTTTTAGAAAATAAAATATAAAAAAATTTGCGGTATTAGGTTAATTTTTTTAAATGTAGTCATAAATTTGTATTAAATTATTTTTATTATATATAATTTTGAACTAAAATTTTACAAATAAGAATCGAAATGACATTTCGAGAATACATAGAACAAATAAACGCAAGATAGATGAAACTACAAATATTTGTATTTAAACCTTTTATTATTCTTCTCCATTTCTTTTCCGACACTTTTTACCATTCTAATTTCAGTGAGAGAGTTTAAAACGGGTTCAAAGTAAATTGAAACTTTTGTCGTTTTGTAGAGTCTGGACATAGACCCACGTCATCTAGTAAAATAAGGATAATGTGTTGGAAATGGTCGGAATAGCTCAGTTGTTAGAACAGAGGATTGAAAATACTCGTGCCACCAATTCAAATCTAGTTCTTGACACGTCATGAATTTGTATAAATATATATTCTACAGATTCATTGATATGGGTCCACGTATTCTATAATAATAATAGTTCATGAGTGTAAGGTGTTGATTTAGTCAATGGAATTGTGCATCTCATCGCCCACATCCAACTAATAAGAGTTTGGAAAATTTCCCCCCAACTATTAATAAGAAATTACAAATATCAATTTGATATTTTAAATTGGATTGCTTTTAAGAGCAATACTTTTTAAATTAAATGAAATGATTTTTCGATCCACTGACGAAAAAGTTAATTAATAATATCTCGTAAAAGAAACTTTTTGCTATGTTATTAAACACCATGAATTATATTTGAAACCTATTTTTATTAGTCAAACAAATACTTTGACTACATGTCCTATTACTTTTTTTCCATTATTATTTTTTTCTTTAAAGAAATACCATTCAGACCATCTCATTAGAAAAAGTATGTGAATAACCAACAAAAGTAAGAGTCTATATATAATGGTTTAAAAAAGGGTATGTGAGTAATACCATATTCCTATTACTCCGAAAATAAAAAAAAAACGTCAACATGTACATGGCTCAATTGGTTAAATTATATATCCTCATTAAAAATGTCAAAAATTTGAATCCCGGCCTTTTATGTCGAAATTGAAATTGTGATGTCCTTATAACACTCATGAAACTAACATTAACATGCACCTAGCATGTTGCTCAGCTAAGACAACGGACTTCGATTATAGGAATCCATTGGTGTTAAATTAAACCACTATTCCGAAAAATAAAATAAGAAAAAGAACATTTTACACCCACAAAAAAACTATTCAATAAAAAGACAATACACACACATATTTATATATATATATTCTAATACATTATGGAATGCAAGGGTAATAAGCCAACTATCTTATTCTCTTTGGCATAGGTTTAATCAA